TAATATTATTAAATTGATAATAAAAAAATAATACAGATAATTTATGAATAAATTCACATTTAAATCGTATAAATGCTGCAAAATATTAAGCACCATAATAAAAAAATATTCATTATAATATAAAAAAAGTAATCATAGTATACAAAGGAAATTATACTGTGTATAAAAAGGCAAACTATATTTGCTATTAATATGAAAATATAATGAAAATAATAACTTAATTAAAGCAAAACTACAATTTAACAAAAGCGTGAGAAAACAAATAATTAAGGACTTTTTAACTAAGTGGAAAGTGAAAAGTCAAAGAAAATTAAAAAAAAATATTTTAATTTAAAATATTTTTCAACAAAAACTTAAAATTTACATTTTAAATATTATTTATCATAAAGGCAATATTGTTTTCTTCTTCTCCACCAAATTTCATTAAAATCCCTTAATATTTTCCTAACAAAAATGCCTAATAACCAAATTACCACAAATTAAATATTACTCATACGCCACCCTTAACAAAATTTAAAAACTTTCAAAATTCTTACAAACAAGAAAAAATCGAAAATTGTCTTTTCTCTACTTAAACTCAATCTTATACGAACTTAAAACTGCATAACATGTAATAAAATAAAATGTATAATAAAGCAGCTAATTAGTAGAAAAGAACACATAACATGGAAAAAATAAATGCTTATTTAAGTAGTTTTAAAAGAGAGAGAGAGTAGAAAAAACATTTATTATTTAAAAACTAAAGTGTTTAACTAATAAATAGAAACTTAATTAAATAAATCCTAATGGAAGGTAAACTAAAGATTTCAAATAACTTCAATAGAAGTGATATCACTTCATTTAATTTTAACAACATTTACAGGAAAAACTCATTAGCAATTTCCCACTAGGCAACCATAAATAGAGATTTATTTTCCACATACGAGATTTGTAAATAATTTATAAACAATTTTAATTGTTTAATTAATTTTGCAAATGTTAAAATATTTCTTAAATTTCTCTACATTTTCCATACGTTTTATATGCAAGATTCTATTATTTATTTCATTAAAAACTAATTAAAATTCAATATTTCAAGCAGGTGTTTTAACACAGCAAATTACTGAAGAAGAAAAACTTTAGTTTAAAGTTTTTATTTATTTAAATTTATGCAAAAATTTGTTGTTTACATTAAATGTGTTGAAAGAGAATAGTTTGTGTAAAAATGAAAATTTCTACAAATATGTAAATTTGTTAAAGCATTACTTCAGTAAACTTTAAGATAAGTATCATATGAAATGAAACTATTACGGGAAAAAGGCCCTAAAAACCAGATTAGCTGCTAAATGCAAAACTAAACTTATCTAGAACAAAACAAGAACAGAATCAGAACAACTAGAACAGAACTAGCACAGAACTAGAACAGAACTAGAACAGAACTAGAACAGAACTAGAACAGAACTAGAACAGAACTAGAACAGAACTAGAACAGAACTAGAACAGAACTAGAACAGAACTAGAACAGAACTAGAACAGAACTAGAACAGAACTAGAACAGAACTAGTACAGAACTAGAACAGAAGTAGAACAGAACTAGAACAGAACTAGAACAGAACTAGAACAGAACTAGAACAGAACTAGAACAGAACTAGTACAGAACTAGTACAGAACTAGAACAACTAGTACAGAACTAGAACTGAACTAGAACTGAACTAGAACTGAACTAGAACAGAACTAGAACAGAACTAGAACAGAACTAGAACAGAACTAGTACATAACAGAACTAGAACAGTACTTGAACAAAACTAGAACAAAACTAGAACAAAACTAAAACAAAACTAGAACAGAACTAGAGCAAACTAGAACAGAACTAGAACAGAACTAGAACAGAACTAGAACAGAACTAGAACAGAACTAGAAACAGAACTAGAACAGAACTAGAACAGAACTAGAACAGAACTAGAACAGAACTAGAACAGAACTGGAACAGAACTATAACAGAACTAGAACAGAACTAGAACAGAACTAGAACAGAACTAGAACAGAACTAGAACAGAACTAGAACAGAACTAGAACAGAACTAGAACAGAACTAGAACAGAACTAGAACAGAACTAGAACAGAACTAGAACAGAATTAGAACAGAACTAGAACAGAACTAGAACAGAACTAGAAACAGAACAGAACTAGAACTAGAACAGAACTAGAACAGAACTAGAACAGAACTAGAACAGAACTAGAACAGAACTAGAACAGAACTAGAACAGAACTAGAACAGAACTAGAACAGAACTAGAACAGAACTAGAACAGAACTAGAACAGAACTAGAACAGTACTAGAATAGTACTAGAACAAAACTAGAACAAAACTAGAACAGAACTAGAACAGAACTAGAACAGAACTAGAACAGAACTAGAACAGAACTAGAACAGAACTAGAACTGAACTAGAACTGAACTAGAACTGAACTGAACTAGAACTGAACTAGAACAGAACTAGAACAGAACTAGAACAGAACTAGAACAGAACTAGAACAGAACTAAAACAGAACTAGAACTGAACTAAACTAAATGAACAAGTATTAAATTAGAATAGAAGCATGTTTAGGTACTTTGTGGATGGAAACTCTTAGAAAACTTATAAATACAATTTAAATTAATTTATTTTATTATTTTACATTTTCTATATAAATTTCATAAAAATATATAGCAAACTTTTCTTTAAGTCCTTTTTGCATTGCAAACATTTGCAAAATTGAACAAAAATCCTAAATAGAATACTTATTCAACAACATTTACACATGTTTACTCTTATCTAAATACCTGCTACAAAACATGCATGTAAATGTTTTTCTACTTTACTCAATTGTGTGTGTGTATGCAAGTATCTATACTTACAATTTACTTCAATGTCCTTGTTACTGGACATTCATCTCTTTTTTTAATGTTCACTCGTCTTAACTATAAGCTGTCTACTCGAATATATTATTTCCAATAAAAAAATTTTTGTATTGATTTTGTTAAGTCAAGTTATATGTAATGTAAAGGGACATCATCTCTTACACTTGTATTATTTACAGTAACTAACTAAATTTAATGCATTCATACAAACATACTGATACGATTGTCTGTCCAGCTTTATATGGAGTAGCTTTTTATAGTATTTTATCATATTTTCCTAAGTTGTAGTTGTTTAATGGGAATTTGTTGTATCTCTTATTTTATGTTTTAAAAAGATTTAATTTTAACTAAAATTTTTATTGCTAAGAAAGTTTTCTAAGGACTTTAAGGCAAGTTTAAGTTTGTTTTAGTACTAATTGGAAATTAGTTTAAAAAATTTATTTCAAGTGAAAAGGTTTTTATTTAAAGGTTAAATGAAGATTAAGTGATGATAAGGAACCAAAATTAAAGTTGTAAGTAAAAATAAAAATTTAGATCTACAACTAGAACTGAACTAGAATCAACAAGAATTAAAGTACCACTGAACTAGAACAGAACTAGAACAGAACTAGAACAGAACTAGAACAGAACTAGAACAGAACTAGAACAGAACTAGAACAGAACTAGAACAGAACTAGAACAGAACTAGAACAGAACTAGAACAGAACTAGAACAGAACTAGAACAGAACTAAAACAGAACTAGAACAGAACTAGAACAGAACTAGAACATAACTAGAACAGAACTAGAACAGAACTAGAACAGAATTAGAACAGAACTAGAACAGAACTAGAACAGAACTAGAACAGAACTAGAACAGAACTAGAACAGAACTAGAACAGAACTAGAACAGAACTAGAACAGAACTAGAACAGAACTAGAACAGAACTAGAACAGAACTAGAACAGAACTAGAACAGAACTAGAACAGAACTAGAACAGAACTAGAACAGAACTAGAACAGTATTAGAACTAGAACAGAACTAGAACAGTATTAGAACTAGAACAGAACTAGAAAAGAACTAGAACAGAACTAGAACAGAACTAGAACATAACTAGAACATAACTAGAACATAACTAGAACAGAACTAGAACAGAACTAGAACAGAACTAGAACAGAACTAGAACAGAACTAGAACAGAACTAGAACAGAACTAGAACAGAACTAGAACAGAACTAGAACAGAACTAGAACAGAACTAGAACAGAACTAGAACAGTATTAGAACTAGAACAGAACTAGAAAAGAATTAGAACAGAACTAGAACAGAACTAGAACATAACTAGAACATAACTAGAACATAACTAGAACAGAACTAGAACAGAACTAGAACAGAACTAGAACAGAACTAGAACAGAACTAGAACAGAACTAGAACAGAACTAGAACAGAACTAGAACAGAACTAGAACAGAACTAGAACAGAACTAGAACAGAACTAGAACAGAACTAGAACAGAACTAGAACAGAACTAGAATGGAACTAGAACTGAACTAGAACTGAACTAGAACTGAACTAGAACTGAACTAGAACTGAACTAGAACTGAACTAGAACTGAACTAGAACTGAACTAGAACTGAACTAGAACTGAACTAGAACTGAACTAGAGCTGAACTAGAACTGAATTAGAACTGAACTAGAACTGAACTAGAACTGAACTAGAACTGAACTAGAACTGAACTAGAACTGAACTAGAACTGAACTAGAACTGAAATAGAACTGAACTAGAACTGAACTAGAACTGAACTAGAACTGAACTAGAACTGAACTAGAACTGAACTAGAACTGAACTAGAACTGAACTAGAACTGAACTAGAACTGAACTAGAACTGAACTAGATCTGAACTAGAACTGAACTGAACTAGAAGTGAACTAGAACTGAACTAGAACTGAACTAGAACAGAACTAGAACAGAACTAGAACTGAACTTGAGCTGAACTTTGATGTGAAAATATAAAAATAAAACCAAAATATTAAATTTTTTAAAAAATTAAAATTAAATTTATTTAATTAAACAAAATTATAAAAATATCAAAAAAGTTATTAAAAATTTAAATAAAATCAAGGGTTAAAATTAGTCAAAATTTACCTGTAATCTCGAGGAGGGTGGCGACACTACCAAACATATTTGCATGGTGGCCCTTAAAAACTCCTCCCTTCTAGCATTTAAATCCTTTAAAGTATTCGTTGTGGGCACCGCTATGGGTGAGGTAACAGCCTGTTGTTTAAATGGTCCCGTACGTTTATTAAGACTACTCGAAGAAGAGGTACGCTGAGGCGGGGAAGAAGACGTCACAGTGGTGGAGGGTAGAAAAGGATTAAGACTACGTACTAAATTACAAGAGGAAGTTTTAGTGACATTTTTATGTTGCGTCGTCAAAGCAAAGGAAGCTGATGATGAACTGTTGGCTGTATCACTGCCCAATGATTTGGGAGTTTGCATAGGTTGTTGATATAGCTGGTGTGAAGGATGGGGCGGTTGATGTTGTTGTGGAGCTTGGGGAAAATTTAATTTGGTGGGTGTGCTGAGTGAAAAGAGTTTTCTTTTATGTTTCCCAGGAGTGGTGACAAAGGTTGAAGAGCTTAATGATTGATTTTGCATATCCATATTATGACCAGCATATTCACTATGGGTGGACTCCTGGGAACCAGTACGACTATAATTAGGGGTGGGTAGTTGAGCTGAATGTGTGCCTATCCTATACTTGACCGAAGTAACATTCGAATCCAGCTCATCTTCTAGCTCACGATCTTCATCCTCCTCTTCATAGGTGCTATGATATGTTCGTGCTGTTATCTCGGGCAAAAAGGGATTATTCGGCGAAGCTAAGGTGTATTGATAGTAGTTCTTCATAGAACCATTATTTTCCATTTCTGCAGCGTTAGTTTCATGATCTTGACTTAACTGCGAGAGATCCGCATTGCCCGGGGGATTATTGGAAGTGGAGGGAAAATTACAAAGATTTTCCCATTCCCCCGAGGAAGAATTGAAAGAGGAGGCAGTAAAACCTTCATTGGAATGACCCTGAATACTGCGAGAACTCTCATTGCTGGATTTGAAGAGAAAATTTTGCAGCCTTGTCAGTTTAGCCGCCGTACTGCTTTCACTAGCGGTGCTGCAGCTGCGACTGGCTGTGGTTACTGGCGGGTGTTCATATTCACTTTTACTGCTGCTCTGTTGCTGCAAACATTTACGATTGTCAGTGTTGGCCGCCGTATTCGCAGGCTTGGTGAGAGCATTATTTGAGGCATTAGTATTGGTACTCAACTCTCCGCCCATATTGTTATTATTCATATGCCACGCCCAGTAACTGATGCTGGTAGTAGGACTCTCACAAAAGTTACTCTCCAAAGAAGTGCTCGAATTGGTGGTGGCTACACTACTCAAATGTCGATAGGCAAATTCGGGTGGTGTACTTTCGTCTGGACTGTCCAGCAGTAAAGCCGGATTGATATGACCTCCCAAACCAGGCAGATTAGTTAAAGAGAATATCGAGGCTGAGTTATGCATCTGCTGCTGTAAAGGCCTTAAACTGCTACTTCTCTCCTGGGCCGCCGTTAAGTCTCCCGTCTCTTTTTTATCTTGTCTCTTTATTTCCAAAGACTTGTGCTCAGCTCTTCTAAAGCTGCGCCTTAATTTCTCGGCAAATTTCGATTCTTTATGCGTTTTAGTTTTCAGTTTCTCAGTCTTATCTTTGGGGTTCGTGGTGCTCTTTTCACACCCATCATTTTCCAACAATTTCTCGTGCATTGGTAAATCTATGGCAGATTGTATATGTTTAATTTGGGTTGTATTATTGCAATTGCTATTGGTCTTGGTTTTTTCGTTGCTCAAATTCGTTAATAATGCGGCGCTGCTTGTCACAGCGTTTTTGCATAAATTGTTTACAGTAAGTGGGCGGTGGTGTAGCAAAACCTCCACCCATTACGTCCTGTAAAACTTGGGATTTAGTAGTAGTAGTTAATATAACCTCAACGTGATCATCGAAATTTTCCGTAGATCTTTGTAATTTATAACGTTTAGGTTTATTATGTACTTTAGGTTTTTCTAAGGAGTTTATTGTTGTTGTTGCTGTTTCCAAATTTTTACTTTTATTTGCAGTTATTTTTGGTGGAGATTTATTATCCATAATATTTTGTTACTTATTGCTAAATTTTGTTTTTTGTCCGTCTTTTGGTTTTTCTTGAAGACTAAATGTTTTTTTTGTTTTTATTTAATCCTAAAAAGAAGCGTTTTGATTTCCCCTAAATTTGTAGGTTATTTTATAAAGTTGTATTATTTCTTTTCCATAAAAAATAAACTCTACAATTATTTTTTTTATTTTTAAAACTAAATATTTTTTTCATATAAAAAACATCAAAAGTTTAAAGCCAAGTTTGTGGATTTATAGTTTACGTTTGCTTATACAAGTAATAAAGTTTTATTTTTGCTGAAATTAGAAAAAGAGCAAAGTAATTAATAAAATTTTGTAAATTTTAAACATTTTAATTTAAAATCCTAAAAATATGCCACAGTTAATAAAACAACAGAACTAGAAGTAGAACAGAACTAGAACAGAACAGAACTAACAACAGAACTAAGAACAAAACTAAGAACAGAACTAGAACAGAAGTAGAACAGAACTAGAACAGAACTAGAACAGAACTAGAACAAAACTAGAACAGCTCTAGAACAGCTCTAGAACAGAACTAGAACAGAACTAGAAAAGAACTAGAACAGAACTAGAACAGAACTAGAACAGAACTAGACCAGAACTAGAACAGAACAGAACAGAACTAGAACAGAACTAGAACAGAACTAGAACAGAACAAGAACAGAAGTAGAACAGAACTAGAACAGAACTAGAACAGAACTTGAACAGAACTAGAACAGAACTAGAACAGAACTAGAACAGAACTAGAACAGAACTAGAACAGAACTAGAACAGAACTAGAACAGAACTAGAACAGAACTAGAACAGAACTAGAACAGAACTAGAACAGAACTAGAACAGAACTAGAACAGAACTAGAACAGAACTAGAACAGAACTAGAACAGAACTAGAACAGAACTAGAACAGAACTAGAACAGAACTAGAACAGAACTAGAACAGAACTAGAACAGAACTAGAACAGAACTAGAACAGAACTAGAACAGAACTAGAACAGCACTAGAACAGAATTAGAACAGATCTAGAACTGAACTAGAATAGAACTATAGACTAGACTATAGACTAGACTATAGACTAGACTATAGACTAGACTATAGACTAGACTATAGACTAGACTATAGACTAGACTATAGACTAGACTATAGACTAGACTATAGACTAGACTATAGACTAGACTATAGACTAGACTATAGACTAGACTATAGACTAGACTATAGACTAGACTATAGACTAGACTATAGACTAGACTATAGACTAGACTATAGACTAGACTATAGACTAGACTATAGACTAGACTATAGACTAGACTATAGACTAGACTATAGACTAGACTATAGACTAGACTATAGACTAGACTATAGACTAGACTATAGACTAGACTATAGACTAGACTATAGACTAGACTATAGACTAGACTATAGACTAGACTATAGACTAGACTATAGACTAGACTATAGCCTAGACTATAGACTAGACTATAGACTAGACTATAGACTAGACTATAGACTAGACTATAGACTAGACTATAGACTAGACTATAGACTAGACTATAGACTAGACTATAGACTAGACTAGACTATAGACTAGACTATAGACTAGACTATAGACTAGACTAGACTATAGACTAGACTATAGACTAGACATAGACTAGACGATAGACTAGACTATAGACTAGACTATAGACTAGACTATAGACTAGACTATAGACTAGACTATAGACTAGACTATAGACTAGACTATAGACTAGACTATAGACTAGACTATAGACTAGACTATAGACTAGACTATAGACTAGACTATAGACTAGACTATAGACTAGACTATAGACTAGACTATAGACTAGACTAGACTAGACTATAGACTAGACTATAGACTAGACTATAGACTAGACTATGACAGACTATAGACTAGACTATAGACTAGACTATAGACTAGACTATAGACTAGACTATAGACTAGACTATAGACTAGACAATAGACTAGACTATAGACTAGACTATAGACTAGACTATAGACTAGAACTATAGACTAGACTATAGACTAGACTATAGACTAGACTATAGACTAGACTATAGACTAGACTATAGACTAGACTATAGACTAGAACTATAGACTAGACTATAGACTAGACTATAGACTAGACTATAGACTAGACTATAGACTAGACTATAGACTAGACTATAGACTAGACTATAGACTAGACTATAGACTAGACTATAGACTAGACTATAGACTAGACTATAGACTAGACTATAGACTAGACTATAGACTAGACTATAGACTAGACTATAGACTAGACTATAGACTAGACTATAGACTAGACTATAGACTAGACTATAGACTAGACTATAGACTAGACTATAGACTAGACTATAGACTAGACTATAGACTAGACTATAGACTAGACTATAGACTAGACTATAGACTAGACTATAGACTAGACTATAGACTAGACTATAGACTAGACTATAGACTAGACTATAGACTAGACTATAGACTAGACTATAGACTAGACTATAGACTATAGACTAGACTATAGACTAGAATAGACTAGACTATAGACTAAACCATAGACTAGACAATAGACTAGACTAGACTAAACTATAGACTAGACTAGACTATAGACTAGACTATAGACTAGACTATAGACTAGACTATAGACTAGACTATAGACTAGACTATAGACTAGACTATAGACTAGACTATAGACTAGACTATAGACTAGACTATAGACTATAGACTATAGACTAGACTATAGACTTAGACTATAGACTAGACTATAGACTAGACTATAGACTAGACTAAGACTAGACTATAGACTAGACTATAGACTAGACTATAGACTAGGACTATAGACTAGACTAACTAGACTAGACTATAGGACTAGACTATAGACTAGACTATAGACTAGACTATAGGACTAGACGATAGACTAGACTATAGACTAGACTATAGACTAGACTATAGACTAGACTATAGACTAGCTATAGACTAGACTAGTAGACTAGACTATAGACTAGACTATAGACTAGACTATAGACTAGACTATAGACTAGACTATAGACTAGACTATAGACTAGACTATAGACTAGACTATAGACTAGACTATAGACTAGACTATAGACTAGACTATAGACTAGACTATAGACTAGACTATAGACTAGACTATAGACTAGACTATAGACTAGACTATAGACTAGACTATAGACTAGACTATAGACTAGACTAGACTATATAGATTAGACTAAACTATAGACGGGAGTATCAACTAGACTATAAACTAGAATATAAACTAGACTAGAGAATATTTTGTAGTATAGTCTATAGTCTTGACTATAGTCTAGTCCATATGCTAGTTCATATTCCAGTGTAGAGTCTAGTCTATAGTCTACAACTTTAACTGAACTTGGAACTATATTCTAGTTTTCCTATTTTATACTAAAAAAAGATCTAAAATTTAATCTTGAGAATTCTCTATTTTCTCTGCTTTAAATATTGTCAAATACTTCAATTCATCTATTATCCATGTACTCTAGCATACATTTCGGTTTATAATATAAAACCTATTCATACCTATAAGTATGCTAACATTATAATAGAAATGGACATAAAAGAAAACATCAACACACACAAAAAGGAAATAATTTCAACAAAAAATTCCTTTTTATATAAAAATCATCGTATACATATGTATATAAAAAGAAAAAGCTCAGGTTTTTTTAACGAAAAAAGATACCACAAACACATATATACATGTATTCAAAGGCGCTTGGCTTTTAATGTTATTCTAAAGTATACCTTTGGGGGCATATACATTTTAACATTATAGAGAAATACAAAAAATAAATGAATATAAGAATTTTATTAATCACATACACTTATGTTTTTAAATATTCCACACAAAATATAACCGCCTTATTCTGTTGCCTTTTTAACATTTAAAATTTAAGATTTTTGTTAACAAATTATTATGTTTTTTGCGGTTAAGGAGGAGGTGGTATGGGCACAGAAACACATGTGCTGTGTTTGGCCCGTGTCATGTTACTTTGGGGTTTATTATCCCCAACATTTCCGCTTTTCATTATGATGACAAATTTTGTCACTTGTTTCTGTTGTTCTCCTTTGGTGCGCTTTATTTCCGTTTCGTGTCAGTCTTTGCCTTTTTTTGTTTTATTCATTGAGGTTTTCATTTCAAAAATTTTAAGTGTGTTAAGTTAGTTGATTGCCATATATGTGTGTGTTTGTGTTTGTAACTGAGAGTGTTCAGAGATAATTGTATTGTTGGGGAATATAATTTCCTAATGATATCATGTTTAAATATGTGATGGTTTTAAAGGACATACTAACAGTTTTTTAAGAGCTCCCCTTAAACCAGAAAATTAAAATCTAAACTATAGACAATTTCAGCTTATGTTAACAACTGAATTAAAAATTTTTAAGTAATACCCTAAAATTTGTTTATTTATTAGTTTCAAAAGCTTTTTCCCCTTTTCTCTCTCTCTCTCCCTCTTCAAATAATTTAAATTTGTTCAAAACACGTACATGTGTTTACGTTTTGAGAGTCAACAGAAAGCTTTATATTTCATAAACAAAATTTCAATTAGTTTCGTTTACACCATTAAAACTAATCATTGTATCAGGAAATTTATACATTTGTCTGTATATGTATGAGTGTATGTACTTGGATGTACATGAAAACTATACCCTATATTAGTGCTAATTGTATGCTGTTGTTGTTGTTTTAGATTTTTGTGTTTTTGTGAAAATAACTATATTTACTTTATCAGATTTCCCAAAATAATTTTCATGCTAACGATCTGAACAGTAGAGGCGGAGTGTATCAAAATCGACATGTTTACTTAGAAAAAAAAACGACAATAAAATTAAAAATTTATAAATGTAATTTTACATACAGTTGCCCAAATGGCAAGGACAAATGTAAACAACAATAAACAGATAAATGTATATAAAACTAAAATTACAAATGCTAATTTGTTGAAGTAGTGGGAAATTGTTATTGCAAAATCATGTCATAATTGAACATAAATGTTGACTACAGGTAAAACTGCTGACAATAGACTATACTAATTCAGTTCTGTTTCAGTTCTAATTTAATTCTAGTTTAGCTATAGTTCAGTTCTAGTTCATTTCTAGTTCATTTCTAGTTCAGTTCTAGATCAGTTCTAGTTCAGTTCTAGTTCAGTTCTAGTTCAGTTCTAGTTCAGTTCTAGTTCAGTTCTAGTTCAGTTCTAATTCAGTTCTAGTTCAGTTCTAGTTCA